TGTGAAGTGGCAGAAGTTATAACTCCTTCCCGAATCCTGAAAATCCCTTTCTTGCCTGCCAGGATGCCATGCTGGTGGCTCTTAAGAGCCTCATGCCAGCTTGCCTCTTCAATGTCATTGGGTTTGGATCCACATTTAAGAGCCTCTTCCCTTCCAGTCAGACCTACAACGAGGTAAGGAAGGACCAGGCTGGGACCAGGAGGGGCGGGTGGTGAGGAGCAACGGACAGAAAAGGAGAGAGGAGGCCTGCTCCCAGGCTGTCCACACGTATAGGACCAGGATGATACCCAGGAGCCAAGAAGGAAAGAGAGGCTAACTCTGCTCAGGCAGTTCTCTGACACCTCAGCCTTCTGACACCCTCCTCTTTAGAATAAAGAACATGTTGGACAAAGTGTGGGCGTGCGCAGACAGGGGTCCAGGGAGGGGTAGGAAGAGGATGCATGGCCTAGGCCCGCCACTCACTGAAGCCTCTGTCTTATGAGGACAATAGATCCGTGCAAGGTTGAGCCATAGAAGTGAACAGGAAGGATGGCTGAGTGAATAGGTGGGTAAGGGGGCTGAGAATGGGACTCACGAGACTCAAGCTACAATTTTAAATAACAGGACTGTGGCCCCAGCAGCATGTTCAGAATTGCAGGCCTAGGAATTGGAGGGAAGGGAGGAGGGAGGGAGGGAGGACTTCGGAGTCACTTTTCAATTAAAAGTAGTTTATGGGTGTTTTAAATGCAATAATAATATATTGATTATCCCACAGCCTTTTGAAACTAGATAATCAAAAAGAAAAATATGTAAATCTCACATAATCACATCAGAAAAACAAAAGGAAAAACAATATTAAGAGCTTAGAGTAAATCCCTCCAGATCTTGTTCTATGCATTACCCACGGTTTCAGGAAAGATAGGATTAGGCCTTTCATGAGCACATTTTTATGACATGAAGTATAAATCTGCAGCATAATTCTAATGGCTGCCTAGTGTTTCACTGCAGATAGGCGTGACTTATTTAACTAAACCCCTGTAGTTGGGCACTGAAGTTGTTTCCTTTTTTTTTTTCTTATCACCTTTGTATCAAAGGCTTCACATCCCTCCTTCACGATTCCCTTGGGGTAAATTTCTAGTCTTTCTGGCTCAAAGGTACATTATACATTTTAAGACTTTTGAGCATGGATGTTGGAAGAGCACCTTCCTGAGTCAGGAGCAGAAGGACATCTGGTGTCCAGTGAGAATCTGTCCTTGCTGTAGGGACATTCATCCGAGGCCAGTAATCCTGGGCCAGCAGGACAATGATAAGTTAATATAACACCGCGAATGGTAGCACGGCAGGCTCTGGTGGGGGTGTAATTGGGCAGAACCATGTCAAATAAGTGTCCACCTATTATCCTTCCTGTATGTGGGGCCGAGGTGAGATTAGGAACAGGACTCAACTCTGGCGAGCTTAGAGTATTATCTAGGGCAGCGATTGTCAACGGGTGTGCTGCAAGGATTTCTAAGACATGCAACACCTCTCTATCTAGTCGGGGGCACTGACCTCTTTTCCCCTAGATTGTCACACACACAAATGACAGCAGCCAACACATTAGCCATCTGGTGTGAATGAATCAAAAGTATACCTTTATTTTTGTTAGATCAGCAACAAATATATTTTTTGATGTGCCTCAGAGTTTTAGTAATTAGTTTATGTTAAAAAAAAAAAAAGTTGAAAATTGCTGATCTAGGGAAACAAAGGGACTCCTCCCCCAAGGGGCTCAGAGTCTCCGCACCCTACGGTGACCCTGGGAATTCTCTCCCTGCCTGTGCCTTTCCTGCAGGAGACCTTGGCCATCGCCTGTGAGAACATTCAGAGAATGCGGGCCGACATGGGCGGCACCAACATCCTCTCCCCGCTCAGGTGGGTCATCCGGCAGCCAGTGCACCGAGGCCACCCGCGACTCCTCTTCGTGGTCACAGACGGGGCGGTCAACAACACCGGGAAGGTGCTGGAGCTGGTGCGAAACCATGCCTTCTCCACCAGGTGGGCACAAGCTGGAGGTCTAGGACATGGTTATCCCGGGCTGCCCTGGACTGGGGTTTCCAGAACCCGGGCCACATGGAAAAAATGCCAGAAGACAAGGAAAGAACCTTTTAGAACAGTGGTTCTCAACCTTCGTAATGCCGCGACCCTTTAATACAGTTCCTCATGTTGTGGTGACCCCCAACCATAAAATTATTTTTGTTGCTACTTCCTAACTGTAATTTTGCTACTGTAAACAATATGTAATTATATATGTGTTTCCCGATGGTCTTAGGCGACCCCTGTGAAAGGGTCGTTCGACCCCCAAAGGGGTAGCGACCCACAGGTTGAGAACCGCTATTTTAGAGCTTTGCTTCCAAGGTGGTATGGCTGACCTCAAAGTTTGCCTCTCCCCCTCAAAGTTCAGGAGGGATGAGATCCCCACACCCCAGCATCCAGCTCCCAACCAGCAGCCTGGGCAAAGGAAGCCCTTTCTGCTGCTTAGACTCTGAGCTGGGGCGGAAGTCATGGGCTTCATGTGTGAATGTAAATGCCCATTGGTGGCCCTCTTCCCCGGCCCTCGGCCTGAAGCTGGGCCAGCTGTGAGAGAGTCCGCCTGGATCATGCGCCCCATCAGGAGACAAAGATGGCAGAGAGGATGGGAAGTGGCAGCCTCTCTCCTCCCCTGCCCAGGTGCTATAGCTTTGGAATTGGACCCAACGTCTGCCACAGGCTGGTGAGGGGGCTGGCAACCGTGTCCAAGGGCAGTGCTGAGTTCCTGATGGAGGGGGAGCGGCTGCAACCCAAGGTGGGTGGAAGGGCCCCAGTCCCTCTGCTGCTGGACCCTCACTCTAACACGTGGGGAAAAGGAGGCCCAGGAAAGCAAATCAACTTGCTCAAGATCACTATCTGGTTCATGTTTTTGACGCAAACTTTCTGGGTGCCCTGGACTAGTCACAACCCTCCTTTGAGTCCTGGATTTTCTCATTTATAAACTGCTAAGCTTAGAGAAGATGCCAGCAAACATTTGGTCCCACTCTGGCATTGTAGGAGCCTAAGAAGTGGCATGTTCACTGGTGGGCAAGCCACCCCAAGGCCTCTTGTCACTTCTTTCCTGCTCACATCCCCACATGGTCACACCCACCTGGGCTTTGTGCATCTGGACGTACCCCTGCTCACACATCTCCCCAACCGGTGTTCTAATTCTGCCCAACAGATGGTCAAATCCCTGAAGAAGGCCATGGCCCCAGTCCTGAGTGATGTGACTGTGGAGTGGGTCTTCCCGGAGACCACCGAAGTGCTGGTCTCCCCCTTGAGCACCAGCACCCTCTTCCCTGGGGAACGGCTGGTGGGATACGGCATTGTGTGTGATGCCTCCTTATACATCTCCAACTCCAGAACTGTAAGTAGCTTAGAAATGCCTGGGGTCAGTGGGGGTCCAGAAACATGCCCTTGCAGCCATCCTCGCTGGAAAGACTGTTCCTGGCAGGAAGGAACGAACTGGATCTGGGCTTATAGCTGTGAGGTATAGATGCCAGGCCATGGAACGCAATCTACAAATAACTAATGAGATTAGAAAGACATAACTTTTCAACCCAGAAATCCCTTCTAAGGGATCTAACAGAAATAAAGGGATATAATGGAGTTATGTCCAAGGATTTATTGTAGCCTTTTTTGTGATGGCAAAAACTATGGCCACATATTAATGCTGCTCCCCTCAAAATGTCGTGTGATGTTACACACGGCAGGAGAATATTGTGAAAGACATTATCACAAATGATGTGGTAGCCAGAATATGAATTTCTCATCAAATAAACTTAATTATTGAGAGAGGACAACAATTTGTCTAACTGAGCTGGTCAATTCGGTTTCTAATTTTCTCTTGTAAATTCCAGGACTTCATAAACTTCTTTTTCTAGTCCAAAGGTATTCATAGCCTCCCCAGAGCTCCCAAACTATTGTTTAGTAGATCAACAATAATAGGTACCATCAGACACTGTGGTCTCACATGCTTATTTTAATTGAATTGATTTTCTAAGGTGATCTTGTACTCCTTTTTTCCTTTTCTACTTTGTCCTCTTTCCTACATCAGGTGGCTTATACTTTGTTGTCTGATCAGGCCTGACTTACTGTTGAAGGAAGGGAGGTTAATAGCATTTTCTCTTTGTGAGTCTTGTAGCCTATGTCGCCACCTTGTATGCATCAATGGATGGCATGTTGACTTTCTGGCTGATAAAGCGTTAAGTGTGAATATAAATACAGCCACCAAGTGAGTGCTTAACCACAGGGGTGGTAAAATATTGCACAACCATCAAATGTTTAAAAGAGTAGTTGACGTGCAGGACTTCCAAAATGTTTAAAGTGCAGTGTTCAAGATACTGCTAAATAGAAAGTAATATGGTCCAGTTTTTGTAAAACAAAAATGATCCCCAAAAGCCTTTATGTTTTATATGTATGTATATACTATGGAGAATGGGATGGGAGGAATTAGATGGTTCATTCTGTTCATTTTGTTTACCTATTTGGAGACAGGCAGTGGCATTTAGAATTACCTTTTACATTTTTTTAATAAAGAATATAATTTAAAATATAAACAATGTAAGTGATATGAAGTAATTTTCATTCACCATCTCATAAACAGAAGTCTGCCTAAATTCTCCAAGCTAGCAAAACACTTTTTTTATTATTATTATTCCACTTCTAGCATGGACTCTCCACCACCTTGCCTCACACTGCTTGCTGCTCTGTGGATGTCCTTCCTGCCATCTAGCCTAATTCCCAACCTTCTTTCTCCCCCTTCCTCCAGGACAAGAGGAGACGATACAGCATGCTGCACTCTCAGGAGTCCAGCAGCTCTGTCTTCTACCATTCACAGGATGAGGGGCCCGGCTCAGACAATGCAAATTGTCCCAATAGCTTGGGGGAACCCCTCAACCTGCAGCAGGCCACAGATGCCCGGCCGTCCAGTGGCGACCCCGCCACCAGTCCTGGTAAATCTGCCGCCCTTTGTGCTTCCCTCACTTCTCCAGACGCTATGATCGCTACGTTTTGCTGAGCACTTACTATGTGCTAAGCACTTCATACAAACAGTCGCACTGAATAGTTAGCAGCTGCAGGGGGAGCTACCACCTATTCTACAGATGAGGAGATTGAGACAGGAAACTTCAGTCACTTGGCTGAGCTCATGGAACTTGAAAGAGGTCGAGTACAGATAGTCTAGACCTGTCTGCCTCCAGAGCCACTTCATGGTTTTAGTTTCCACTCAGAGGGCGTTTCCTGATCACCTACCCAGGCTAAGTGCTGAGCACAGTGTGAGCAGCAAAGATGACTCAAAGGTGGCACCTGTTCTTCAGAAGCTCTCAATCTGGTGAGGGGGATACAATTGGACTTAGTTCTGAGAGGAAGCAGAGTGACATGGGCCACAGGAGGTTCTGGGCAGCAGACACTGCCTGAGCAAAGGTGTGGAGGTGTGACACCTAGAAAATACAGCCACAGCTGGTTACTCAGCTACTATACTTGGACACATGGAACCTTGAAAAGGGAACAGAAAGGAGAGTCGCTGGGTGATAGATAAGGGCCAGGTTAGGCCAGGCTTTGAATGCCAGGTGAGGTGAGGCACCCAAACATATGTCAGTAGGTGAGCCGTGGAAAGATCGAGAAGTTTTCAAGCATGAAAGGGTATGCAAGCCCCTCCCTATTTGCCCGCTGTCCTCTTCTTGTACTCTGGTGGCTCCCCTGTCACTACTCCTGTCCAGGTGTGGGCCTCTCCCAGCGACGACGGGCATATAGCACCAACCAGATCATCGACCACAAGCCCTCCCCGAGGGCCACCACGGTCAGCGACCCCACGATGGCTGCCAGGAGATACCCACTGCGGAAAGCCAAGCTGCAGGACCTCATCAACCAGCCCGGCCCAGATGCCCAGGCGAGGCAGATTGATTTGCAGGTACCCGGGCGGGGCAAGGTGGAGTTGGGGGAGGCCATGGGTGGGGAGTGAGCTGTGTCTCCTGCTTCAACCGGAAGGATGGAGCCTGTCCACAACTGACTGAGAAGCGAGTCACCTCTTCCTTCATCTGCCTGGCCCTCAGTGACCCCTTCCTTACAATGATACCCATTGGCCAATGACAGCACCAGTTCTCTGCACACAGCATTTCCCAGTTGTCAAGGAGTCTCCCCATCTGCTCTCTCATTTGATTTTATAGCAGCCCTGGGAAAGGAGGGGGTGTGGAAATGAAGGGTTAAGGTCACACAGCTTGTCTGGAGATTAAAACCCGGGACCCACTTCCTGCAAAGCTCTTGCTTCCCTCTCCATCACACACTGCACCTCCTGCAGATACCAAAGATGGTACACCACCCAGGGCAGGGGTGACCTCAGCGCTACGGCCACAGCAGGGCCAGTTGCCCCCTGTCCAGCTAGACCAGTTTCTGGCCTCGGCACCTTGGACATGATAATTCTTTGTTGTGGGGCGCTCTTGTGTAGAAATTGTAGAAATTTTACAGCATCCCTGGCCTCTATCAAATGAATGCCAGTTAACTCCCCCCCCCCCCCCCCCACCCCCCCCCACACACACACACAGAGCTAGGCCTTCAGTGCCTCGGGCAGCTCAGTGTGTCCCCCCCCCCCCCCCCCCCGCCCAGTGATGACAACTAAAAGTGTCTTTAGACTTTGCCAAATGTCCCTGGGGGAGGGTGGCAAAATCACCAGTTTGAGAAACACTGTCCTAAACCAATGGGCTTGATGGAGCTTCGTCAGGGTGTCTGTGGTTCCACAGAAGCCGCCTTTCATTTCCCACGCCCACCCACAACCTCCATCCATCCCTGCCTCCACAGACGCATCAGCCCCCACGCTCCCCAGGGGCAGACACACTGCCACCTCGTCCCTGAGGTCCTTGTCTGTCCTTAGCCAGGGATGCAGTTGGAAGACACTGACCTTGGAGTCAGGCAGACGCTGCTCCTCAAACATGTGACTCAACCTTTCTGAGCCCCAATTTCTTCGCCTGTGAAATGGGGAGAATAGTTTGCGCGGGTGGTTGAGCTAACAGGCATCCACAGATATGTACTGAGAGCCAACGACAAGTGGAGGACTCTTGCAGGCATCGGGTGGTAAGAGATCAAGTGCCTGATGCAGTGCCCGGCACACAGTAGGTGTCCTTTAAATGCAGGTCTGGTTAGTGAGCGCTCTGAGCAGTGTGGCTTCTCTTCTCTCCTATTTGCTTCTGGCCATCTTTGCTCATCTCTGCCCCGTCCCCTGCTTGGCTTCTTCCCCAATCTGATTCTCCCCAACACAACATGTGCACACATGTAGACACGCCCTACAGCCTCTGGCTGGGTGAAGGGCTGAACCTGAGACTAGTCTATTGCCATGGAAACTGTAGCAGCTTGTTTCTCAATCTGTTGGTGATGGTGAGGCAAAGGTGAGAGGAATCCTAGTCTCTGATGAGGGAGGTGAGGTTAGGGGCACCCTGGGATGCAGCAGCCCCAGCTGGGTACCAGCTCCCACTGAGGCCATCCAGTCCCAATCTTCTCCCACACCCTTGTACCATCCCAGGACCTCAGGTCCAGAGGAGACGGGAAGGAGCACCTCAGCCCCTGCCCCAAGGAGCAGGAACCCCCATCTAATGGGGAGTACAGTCCCTTCCCAATAAATACTTGGTAGCGATGAGAAAGACCACCCAGTTAGCTGTTGGCCTAAAAGACTGAGAAATACCTTTTCTCTCTGTTACACCTAGTAAGTGCCCTTGCGCCCTGTCTCCTATCAGGCAAAGCAAACATTGCCAGAGACACAAATTCATTTTTAATTAATTTAATATTCTTTAATTACAAACATACTACATACTCAGATTGTGAAAATCACACCCTCAAACAGTTCGGTTGAGTATAAAGTAAAAAGAAAAGTACCCTGACCTACTTGGTTTTGAGTGTTTCCTTCCAGAAATACTACACACACACACACACACACACACACAACACACGTACGTGTTTTAAATAACCGCATATACAAACTTCCCTCTAAATTACTTTTCTAATATCTTCTTAATTCACTTTTTTACATACAGTAAATTACTCTTTTTGGTGAATAGCTCCATGAATTCTGACAAATGAATAGTCATGTGACCATTTCCACGATCAGAATACAGAAGAGTTGCAAATGTTTTAATGTTTTCTCTTAGACATCTTCCCAAATTAGTTTTTAAGAAACTGCCTGTTTTATTGCAGTGCTGTGTGGTGTTCCAACACATGGACGTACCATAACTTACCAGTATTTGCCAATCTTAATGAAGTACATCCAGATAGTTTCCAGATATTCACAAAATCTTTTTTTAACAAACAATACTGCATCAAAGATACAGTACATGTATGTAGATATTTGCAACCTTGTGTATTTCCACAGGATCCAATTCCTAAAGGTGGAATCGCTGGGTCCAGGCAGCGTGGGCCTTGTTAATGTTGACAGCTATCACGGGGCTGCATCGTTCTCCACAAGTACACGTCACTGCGCACTCCCACCAACAGTCCATGGGGGATCCCCGTCTCCCCATTGACTACATTGCGTGTCATCAGACATTTATACATTTTCTAGTCTGGAAAATGGGAAAAGTCATAATGCATTTCATTTTATTTTTTATCCTCGCCCGAGGATATATTGTTATTGATTTAAGAAAGGAAGGGAGAGAAACATCAATGTGAGAGAGAAACATTGATCCGTTACCCCCCATATGCACCCCAACTGGAGATCGAACCCATAACCTAGGTATATGCCCTGACTGGGAAGCGAACCCTTGAATGATGCTCCAACCAATGAAGCCACCTGGCCAGGACTGTCATTCATTTTAACTTAGAGCAACACTCAAGAGCTGAGCATGTTTTCATGGGTTTATTGGATACTTTTTCTGTAAACTGGCTGTAAAGGCCCTTAATCCATTATTTCATCGAGTGTGTCTCCACCCCCCACAGTGATTTCTAAGAGCATTTTCTTGAAAATGAGCTTTGTCATGCATGTTGCGAAAATATTTCCCAGTTTACCCCTGGCCTTTTGATGTTTTCCTTTAGACAGATTAAGTCCACAGAACAGAACAGGAAGCCCAGAAATAACACCAAATGTGCATGGGAGCTCTGTTGGCATAGAGGTGGGGAATTCATAAACCCTAGAGCAGTGGGTCTCAACCTTCCTAATGCCTTGACCCTTTAATACAGTTCCTCATGTTGTGGTGACCCCCCAATTTCATTGTTACAAATTGAACATAATTAAAGCATAGTGATTATTCACAAAAACAATATGTAATTATATATGTGTTTTTCGATAGTCTTAGGCGACCCCTGTGAAAGGGTCGTTCAACCCCCAAAGGGGTCGCGACCCACAGGTTGAGAACCGCTGCCCTAGAGACTCCATAAAGGAACGGTATTCAATAAACGGTGCTAGGACTCAAAAAACCAACGAAAAGGCTGGTTCCTATTTCCTTACAAGAAAATAAATTTCATGTGAATCAAAGATTTAAGCAAACAAACAAATGTCACAAAAAGTCTATAGGAATTTTTTTTTAAGTAGGAAAGACCTTTTAAGCATGACCTATGAGAAGGCCTAAGGAAAGGGTTAATTTTAAACACACACAAACGTTTCAAACTTTGTGGCAAAAATAAGTGAGTGTAGATTATCTATGGTATGTGATTTTCCATGGTCTTCCGGGGTTTGGACTTCATCCATGGGTTAGGATTATTCATGTTGACATTTCTCATGGGTAGTAGAGAGTAAGTGGTTTGTCCTTGGGTGCTACAGGCGGAGCTGGGGTGGAGGGGAGCGGCCCAGCCTCCTCACCTTGCTCTTGCCTTCCTAGCCCTTCCTGAACAGCGGCTGGGACCCGTGCCAAGGCCCCAAACTCCGGGGCCCAGGGGCCCGCAGGCCCTCTCTGCTGCCCCAAGGCTGCCAGCCCTTCGTGCCCTCTGACCAGGAGACCCAGGCCTGGAGCCCCATGAGGGAGCTGGATCTTGGGTACAGCCTGCAGCCTGCCTCAGACAGCCTCAGCCCTGGGGACCAGGGTAAGTGTCCTCAGGGCCCGGGGCCTGACTGGGAACAGGGAGGACTCCTTGGCTATGGCCTGACTTCAGATGACAGGCCCAGAGGACAGATGCCTGTGCCCTTTGGGGGTGGGGGGAGTCTGCTGTGGCCCCTTCTCTCCCTGAGGACCTCACCAACCCCTCTTTTCCCAATCAACCTGCCCTTTGGGAGGCCTGTCCCTTACCGGTGTCCTCCCTGCGGCACATTCTCCCTGAGGAGTGCCCCACCCCATCCTAAGGACCCCTCAGGTCCTGGCTTCCTGGGAGGTGGGGACCAGCCCATGCCACCCAACCTGTTCTAAGAAAGGAGTTTCGAGATCCCTGGGCGTGCGGCTGGGGTGCTGTACTGTGTTTGTTTAGGGGTGTTTGTGCCCTGGGAACGGATGCTGTCCCCTGCGGGACTGGCCCTCTGTCCCCCAGTTCAGAGCACTGTCCTCTCGACCCTCCGCCCACAGAGCCGGTCCATCAACCCTCCTCCTTGGAGACCCAGACCTCCCCGGCCTGGGAGCCTCAGGCCAGCATGGGCAGGCCGGCCACCCCAGGCCCCGTGGTGGGCAAGGCCGTGGTCAAGGGCCTGCGGGACAGCCAGCGTTTACAATGGGAGGTGAGCTTCGAGCTGGAGCCCCCGGGCCACGAGCGGAGCAGAGCGCACGATGCCGACCTTTGGAAGGAGACCTTCCACCACCTGGCGGCCCG